CTCCGCGCCAACCCATGGTCGCGCTCCGCTCAGATAGTTGTGCCTACAACTTTGAAAATCCTGGCTACGCCCCTGGCGTCGTAGCTCAGACGGATCGAGGAGCGGCAGCAACGAACGAGGAGTAAAGAAAACGAAGAGCCACGTCCGTCGTTTACAAGACTTAGAATAAATATTGGATAAGACAAACATTGAATCAAAATGAGTAAAGTAAGCGTTAACGTAAGGATATATTCTATATTTTAGTTACAACCAGTAAATTTTATTCGTGTAACAGGTAATAAAATTATTCATTGCATAACTAAGACGTACAGACTTTGTTTCACTTCACTCTTGTTTCTTCTTGCTACTACATGACCTACATCGCCGTCCTGCCTATACGGTGGGAACGAAAGTTGATCCGAATCAAATAAATTCCACGTGTTGACTTAGCACGTGGACTTGTTGCTGCCACCCCTAGGGTCACTACATTACTTCATATCTTCCTGTCCTTCCTCCTCGCTCTACCTCTCACTCCTTGTACTCAGCCTTCTTCTTCTTCTACCTCGCCTCAGCTAGTGTCACCCAGTATTTACAAGATCCGAAACCACCCGAGCAGAATACCAGAGCTCTCAGTTCATATCGTCGCAACTGGACGATATAGTGCAACTGGAAACACGTCACGCACGTCAACATGCCGTCGCCGCTTATAAGCCAAAAAATTTTCAGGGAGGTGTTTTGCAGACGTAATTTTCTGCGATTTGTGCTTTACTAATACTATTTAGACTTAATCAACTTATTATTCTACGTACTAACTAAAATAATATTGTGAAAAGTACATTTTTGTAATTTTTGCTTTAGCGCTCACCACGCGTTATATATTACAAGTATGTTTGCTATATCGAGCGCTAGATGGCGATAATGAGAACCGATCAGGGATTCTGTGTTTGGTGGTCGCCATGCTGGGCGTTGTGAATATAATTATACTACATTGTATACTAGGTAAAGCTATGGTTAAATCCATTTATGAGAAGGTGGTGGAGAAATTCTCTGATGAGCGTGTGACTGAATAACTAGACCCACCCGGTTACACCCCTAACTAGCTCAGTATCTGTGTTGTAACTTGTGACTTGTCTTGTGTGCTCCGTAGGCCTAGCTAGTTTCCGATGCGAGGTCAACTGTAGTGTCAACACCGTCAAAAGTAAACTCGGTTTCGATTATTAACCATGGCAAAGGAGATTTTGCAATTGAATTGTCTATCGATGGGTATAATTCAAAATCTCAATAAATTGAGTATGCGTGGTCAGTATAGTATTTTACTAGCATTTTGCATAATGCTACATAATCGTAAAACACTCCGAGTCCATGGAAACGTGGCAAGATTTTTCGTGGAACGCAGTAGGCATATACATATATCAGGAGTAAGATAATATAGGAAGATCCTATATTATCTTACTCCTGATATATGTATATGCCTACTGCGTTCCACGAAAAATCTTGCC